TGCTCGAGCTGCAGCAAGAGAAGCTGGCCATTGCCAACCGCATGGCCGAACTCGAGTACGAGCAGGAGGAACCCCTGCCAGCTCCTGCCCCGGTCGATGAACACCTCGATTCTGAGTCCATCGGGGGCATCGACCCAGCCATCGTTGCTGCCCAAGCCGCAGAACTACAGGCCCTGCGCGATCGCCTTGACGAGATTGCCGCCGAGAATGAACAGCTTCGACGCAACGCGCCCCAAGAGCACCACGACCAGGGAGACTTTGCCACGACCGAGGGCTCTTTTAGTTTGGCCGACGAACTGGCCTCCGTCTCTCTTCAAGAGCAGCTTGAGATGGAGGCACGTCAACGCCAGCTCGACGACGAGGCGCGCCGGCGCCTCGAGGCTGAAAATCGACTCAAATCACTCCAAGTCGAGCAAGAGCGCGAACGCCAAGCTTATCTCGAGCTGCAATCCCGGCTGGCCGAGGCCGAGGCCGCTTTTGAACGTGAGCGTCAGCTCAAGGCTGATTCGGAACAGCGGATTGCAGACATTGAGCTCAAGCAGCGCGAGCTCGTGGCTACCGCCCCAACTCTCGCAGCTTCAGCGCCCGCCCCCGAAGCACCGCCCTCCGTGCCAGACCCGTTGGTCCTCTTGTTGGAACACCTCACGTCCATCTTCCCCACACTGGCTCGCGAGGTCATCCGCGAGGTCATCCACAAGCACAAGGGAGACATGGATAAGATCATGCCCGAACTTCTCGAGCTGAGCAAAGCCATGGCCGAGACATCTGCTGCCCAGACTCCCCGCGTGTCGCACACAGCCACCCCACGTCGCGTGGTGGTGTCTCGCTCTGGGCCCAAAGTGCCTGACACACACAATAACCCCTTTGCCAACTTTGTCTCGAGCCCCACGCCTAAGAAGGCCGTGGCCACAGCCTCAAAACCCCGCCCCAGTCCTGCTCGTGCAACTGTCAGTCCCCGCGCACCGGCTGTGCGACCTGCACCCCCGGCTGTACACATCGATCCTCCCAAAGCCATCCCAGCCTTTGCTTTGCGAGAGGAAGGCCCGGCTGCTCGCGGGTACGTTTGTGGCCTGTCCGGCATGGGCATGGAAACAAGCTGGGCCTTGTTCTTTTCCATTACGTCTCCAGTTCTAACCTTTTCGATGCTTTGTCGTCCCTTTTGGTCTCGGGCTTGCAGCTACGACGTTGCGCTTGAAGCCGAACAGCGCGACCAAGACCGCAAAATGGCAGAAGCATTTGCTGCTCGCGCGCCCGAATTCAATATCACGCTTCCCTCCCAAACCCACATCTTTCGCGTATGTGCTTCTTGTCGACCCAAAGCTGATCAAGCTGCCGCCTTCACCTCATGGCCATCTGTGGACTTTTCCGCTCTTTCTTTGGCTTTACCAGGTGGAGCTGCTCGACACTCAAGAAGCTCGCGACATGGGCTTGGGCACGCGGTTCTTTGCACAAGCAGAGCTGCGCGTCACTCCTCACTCCATCGGGCTGATGTCTCATGTACGTGATCTCAGCTCGCCCTGCTCCAGCACAATGGCGTGTGCTCCTCTCTTGCATGCCTCACCAGAGTGGAGGCGTCGGTGACTTTTGGGCATGAATAGGTGAACCATCGACCCATTGTTGAGTGGCCCTTTGCCCTGGTCAAGTCCATCTGCGCCGACACTGGGCGCATGCTCATCGAAGGCTGGGTTCATGCCGCACAGCGGGCTGTGAAGCTTGTACTCAACTCTCACCAGGTTTGTCACCAACGAGAAGACGCGGCGTCTGGGTACTGCCCCTTTCCTTCCCCGCTGTTTCTGTTTCTGTTTTGGGCCGTAAGGGTATACTCTCACACAACGTTACAACTACGCTGCGCAGACGGGTGATGCATATCCTTGCCTTTGTGAATGCCTGCACGAGTTTGTGGTACGTTGGTGCTTGGGCGGCCGGGCACTGGGTGCCTGTTGGTGTGACATGACTTGCCGTGGCCTCTTATCTAACATGGTGGTGTACTGCACGTTGCACCGGGCTCTGGCAGCGCCACCGTGATGAGGACATTGCACGCGCTCTTCAAAAAGAAGAGCTGGCTGGTGTGATGGATCTCAGTGATGCATTCTTGCGTGAGCTTCGCATCAATGACGAATTCAACCGCATTCTCGCGGAGGGTACGTAAACCTGCACCTCAAGCAGGGGATGGAACGTGCGCGCTGTGCTCGAAATCTTGGAGAATGAACGCGAAGTGAGGCAGAGAAAACATCAATTGCCTCACGTCAAACATGAAATTTTATTAGAAACCAAAAATGGGTTTCAAGATCTTCGAGCCAAAGACGACGATGCGTATCGCCAGCAACTGCTGCTTATGGGCACCAAAAGCCAAAACATGTTGAGGAAAATTCGCCTCAAGGGCTCCAAAAAGTCCAAGCGAACTGCCAGCCATGCCAGCAGCAGCGGTAGTAGCAGTAGCAGCCCCAGCGCAGCGGGCAAGTCGCCCCGCTCTGGTCGTCGACTCTTTGGGCGCAAACAGTGAGTTGAAGATGTTGCCGCCGCACCCTGATTTTTCTCGTCTGGCCGTTACCACACACGTGCCTCTCACATGACCAATACCGCATTGCGCTTAGACGTGCGACACCGGTCGCTGAGTCAGTGGGATCGGGTGCATACCGGTTAGGAACAGGCATTGGGTCTTCGCCTGCCTCGCCTGTACGCTCATAGCCCTGGTCGATGCGCCGTGGCCTGTGATGGCGTGAACGAGCATCTTGGCGTTTGGTGTGTGCGATGTGTTACAATGTGACTGTGACAATATTTTGATGACTAGTGGACTAGAAATATAGAGAGAACATGAGAATTGCTTCGCCTTGGCCGCGGTGCCTCGCCCTGGATGGGTCTAGCTCATCCCTCGTCAACTGTTTTTCGAGTGGGGTTCTGAAATGGTCTTGGGCTAGCAAATATGCGAAAAAAGAGCAACAAAGAGCAGCTGCCTCGGTGGCTCACAGGATGTGTATCGGGTCGAGTCAAGGCGACTTCTGTGTGCTGCTGTGTTTGCGCGTGAGGCTTGATGTCGCAACGCCAGATGTTTTGAATTGCATGACTTGCAAAGTTCATTTGGCACACACACACACACACACACACACACACACACACACACACACACACACACACACACACACACACCGCAGGTGGTCACCAGTCGGTGGGCTTGTAGTCTTTGAAAAACATACCGTGTACGGGCTGGCCATTGGCACCTCGGAGATCAGCCATGATGGGGTGCAACACCCGTGCAGCCCCATCGACTTCATCCAAAGGCGGATTTGGCACGGCTGTAGCCGACTGAGTCAAAGGATACTCGTTTGTCACCCAGCCGGTGTCCACGCTAAGGTCGGATGATAGCACGGCGGGTGGGCTGAGCCTGCGACACGGCTTTCAATTGGCAGGGCAATGCGGTTGCGTCATACCTGTTCATGTACACGCCATGCCGAGCCTCGTGTGCATGCATGGTTCGTACTAGCATGTTGAGCGCTGCCTTGGCTTCGTTGGTGTGCGAGTGAAATCCGGTCTTGAAAGCAGAATACTTGCCTTCCATGGCCGAGACTTGAATGATATGGGCTTCATGTCGTGGATTGGCACGCAGCAGAGGCAGCAGCGCCAGAGTCAGTGTTCGCGGGGCGAGATAGTTGGCAGTGACCGTGGAAAGAACCTCTGTGGTTGGCACGACCTCGTTGGGCATTGTCCAGGTATTGCACGCTCGCAAATCACACGGCTCCCCGTGCTCATTGAGGAGTGCGGATGTGGCTGTTCCCTCTACCTGTGCGCCCAATTGCTGAAGCAAAGAAGGCTCTGTGACGGCCGCCTGCTCTTCCAGCAGCGCTTGTTGATGAGGGCGGTTGGACAGCATAACAACCTTGGTACTGGGACTCGGTGCCTCAGAGGCAACTGAGGCGGCTGGCAGAGTGAGGGCTTTCATGACCGTGTCAGCAAGTGCCAAGGATGGGCGCTCAGAGCCTCCACCCATGGTCTCCCGCTGGTGCAGCAGTTGCATATAGTGCGCGTCGTGCGTGATGGTCTGACAAGCGTTGTTGATGAGAATGTCGAGACGCGGTAAGGATGTGCTTAGGTGGTGCGCCAAGGCTTGCACGGCACCGAGATTGCTAAAGTCTGCAGTCCCAATGAGGTGCAAACGCGACTGTATTTCATCGTAATCGGGCAGTCGAGCAAAACGGCGCTGGGCATCGCGAGGAAAGCGAGTGGTGGCATAAACCTCGGCGCCCGCGCGGAGAAGCAGTACAACGACTTCAAATCCAATCTTGAGCCGGCCTCCGGTAACCACGGCAATGCGTCCGGTGAGATCGCGCGTAGTAGATCGGTGTGCATAGTTGCGATCCCCGCAGGAGGTACACAAGTGCTCATAAAAGTGATGCAAGACTTGGTAGGCCTGCTTGCACACGTAGCAGTGATGTGCTTTTTGCAAACGGCGGACGCGCTTGGGCTCTGGACCAATCGAGCCGTCGGGGCCGGTGAGCTGCAACGAGGTGGCGACCTGCTGCAGGCGTTGTAGTTCTGGTATAGCAGTGGCCGTGTGTGCGTGGCTTGCAAGCACGGCCAGCTCATCCGGAGCAAGGCCTTGGGCAGCGCGGGCACGAGCGCGGCGGGCCACACGAATCCCTGACAGCGACGCTACATGAGTGCTGGCCATATGCACATGCCAGGCAGCAATGAACAATGCACGTTATGCGAGTACCGGTCTGGGCGGTCATCAGATTGTCATGAAGCAAAGGCGTTGACTGGTGTTGGTTATTCGTGAGCTCGCCTCCCATGCGCCTCTTGCCTCCTTTTTGCTTCTTCTTCTTCGTTGTGGGCGTCAATCGAGCGTTCGTGTCTCTGGCGTGGAAGATCAGGCGACGGACCAACCCAACCGTTTCTAAACGCAAGGTCCAGACAGAGGGGGTGAGCAGTCTCGGACACTCAAGGTCATCAGAGTAGGTGTCAAGGGCGCTTGCGTCTTGTCGTGGCTGCTCTAGCCAGGCATGAACCACTTACGACTGGCAGTTGGGGAACTATAATCTTCAGAGGCCAGGATGCGCTTCTTGAGAGCTTCAAAACGTAAGCAGAGCTGGAGGAGTTCGGTCCGTGTGTCAACGGCGGCCGCTTCAGGTGATGAAGGAAGAGACGGTGAGGTGTTGGTGTAATTTGAGGAAGGTATTGAAGCGTTTTGATCGAGGGGTGAGGTTTGAGACGGTATGGGGGTTGTAAGGGCGGAAGCAGGATTGGTTGCGGTCATGATGCTGAGAAAACATGGAGATGGGTAGGCGATGGGTAGCAGCGAGGGGGAGAGGGGGAGCAGATGGGTGCTTCTTGTGGTCGCAGGCTTTGGCAGTTGGTGCAATGGTTCAATCGGTTGTTGGTCGGCCCCAAGCTTCAAGAGCAAGGGGAGGGGCAAGTTGAAAAATGCACTCGGTGCTGCCAGGCTGCCCCGCGATGACCACACCCCTCAAAAGCGTGATCGATGAACCAGCTCAAGACGATCGTCTTCAAGCACCTTCCCCATCAGACCCTGCGCTCTTCGACTGACTCCGCACAGCCATCAAGAACAGGGGGTGTAACAACACCTGAAACACCGCTGCCAGCTCAAATTGGCCTCTTCCCCCCTATGAATAGCAGATTGCGACATCATGTCGACAACATCCAAACTCTTGTCAGACAGAGAGAGAGAGAGAGACGGAGACCGAATTGGTTTGGTCGGTTTGAGAAAAAGAAAGCACAACTGTACCACATGGGGACCGACACAGAGACAGGACAAAGGCAGAGACTGACACGCACAGAGGTAGAGACAGAATGTCATCAATTTCTGCTTGATCTCTTTTCTTTTTTTGGCGCTGGAGGGGTACATGACCAACGGCGGCGCTGCTGGGCATGGCGCTCCGGGGGTGTCTGTTGCTTGGGCTTGCCCTTTGCTCTTCCCATGTCTACGCAGATGATACGGTACGCTTTTTCCACAGCACTTTGTTCAATGGGTGTATTGTTGTTCCGCACCTCACCCTGACGCTCTCGCGACAGCTGCAGATCCTGTTTGTTGGAAATTCGCTCACTTATACGCACGACCTTCCCAATGTATGCGCCCCGCCCCCCTTCCCCTCCCCGCGCATGCGCCTCAACCCAACTCGTTTCCCCGGCTTGTCCACGTGCGCTTGGTCTTGTCACCTTGGCCATGAGTGCGCTGATGCTCATGTCCGAGCCATTTGCAGACTTTTCGCACCATTGCTGCTGCGGGTGGACACAGCGTTCAGGTTGGCCGCTCCACCTGAGCGCATGCTGCGCCACCAGGAGCAAAGGCATCTGCTTGATTCAGCAACCTGTTGTTTTTGTCTGATCCCAGGTTTCGAGCAGCACTTATGGTGGGGCCACCCTCAAGCTCCATGCCACCGACCCCAGCAATTATACCGGTATGCCCCTCCCTTTCCCATCAAGTTACACCGCACGCGCGCTTCACTCGGAAGAGCGTGCGTTGTTTGTCTTTACAAGAGCAATGCTGCTGACATGGGCCTGCTGATTCGGCAACTCTTGCACAGCCCAAACGCCCATCCGCACCATTGAGACCATCCGCTCCCAACATTGGGATCTGGTTGTCCTCCAAGAACAAAGGTGCGTCAAGCTTGCGATGCACCCATTCGTGCGCCGGGTTTGACGGCATACTGACCAAAACTAAACTGCCACAGCTCGGGGTGGGACGTACTTTGCGATCCCGAAGCACATGGATATGGCAGGCCCATCTTCGACAACACCGGACACTTTACGGGGACATACCGCCTGTATCCAAGCATTCTAGTCGACGAGGCACATCAGGCCGGAGCCAAAGTCGTACGTGCCTTTACCATCATTGCCCCACCAACATCATCTTTGAGATACATGCTGACTTCCGGCTACCTGGCACGCATCGACTTGCCCCAGATGTTTTTCAGTGCCTTTGAGCACAACTATGAATCTGATGATTACTGGCTGTCCCGGAACAAGGCAGCCGAGGCTTGCTACACATGGACCGCTGCTTACACGGAGTCTTTTATGTTTCCAGCCGGGCGCGCATTTCGTTCCTACGTGAGCTTGAAGCGCGTTGCACGTCGTCTTGGATTCAACCTGCACGTATGGACTGTCCTCTCGCGCTCGACTAACGAAGAAATCTGGCCCTTGGCACCTGTGTCTCCCCCCCTCCTCTCCTCTTGAGCAGATGACAGGCCGCACACAGTTGTACAATCCCAATGACGATACGCACCCGAGCGTGTTGGGCACGTATCTGTCCGCAGCCACGATGTATGCAGCCGTATACGGTACGCAGGTCTCCATCAGCCGGGCCCGCTTAGTGCGCATCCCAAATTAGGATTGGACCCCGCGCGCGGGGTCACAGATGCCGATGCGTGCGGAACTGCATGGCCCACCCTCTCATGGTTTGCACGCTTGGGTCTCACATGGTAGGATCATCACCAGTCAACCTCATGGTCACGGCCTTTACTGGCCTGTCAGCGTCACAACGAGCGCTCGCACAGTCCCGCGCTTGGGATGCCTTTCAGTCTTTCCGAGATGAGCAGGCTGCTGCCTGCCTGGATGGGTTTTGCGTCCAGTTCATGGCCAACGGTAGCGTTGTTGATCCTGTCACACACGGCTTTTGGTCCACAACCACTGTGGGCGCTGTCACAACTGTCACGGGAACGACCATGCCGGACACCACACCCATGGCATGGCCCACAACCTCGACAGCCTGTCTGAGCCAGCTCAAGGGGCCTTTGCAGGACGTTTTGCCGGATTCGGCCATCTTGAACAGCTCAGCACAGGTGGTTCTGGCTGAAGCCCTCTTACGCCGCCGCTGTATACCTTCATGGACCACATGCCTGCGCGCACCCAGCACCAATGGCTCGGCTTGGCTACCATGTGCCAACCGCGGCCCTGTGCTCGTGCTGGTACAGGCTTCGAATGAGGACCAGACGTTCATCTTTGGGACGTGCGTTTCGCGTGCCTTCTAGCGTTCAAGCCTGCCGAGACCTGCCTCAGCCCAACTGAGAGAGTGTGCGTTTTTTTTTGTTTGTTCTTTCCGCTCATCGAATGATTGTTTGCTGCCAGATTTATCAATGGACCCATCTATAGCGCAGAGGAGCAAGAGTCGGTGAATTACCCTGGATCTTTCATGTTTCGATTTCAAAATCAGTCGCTGGAGGTTCGGTGCTTCTTCGGAATGAACAGCGTCGTAGTATCCTTTGAGGATGTTGCTGGCGGCTCACAACTGTGTGCGCCCTCTCTTCACCTCACACACGCTTTTCGTCCTCGTGTTGCCTCTTGACGATTGCTTGCATTGACAGACGCTCGAAATGGAGACGACGCCACCGTGGCCAGGGACAAGCGTGGTGCTTGGTCTGGAGGATTGCCCAGGATTGGGCCAGGGCCCTGATTTACTCTTCCATGGGTGCGCGCGGGTGCGCGCGTTGGCTCTGGGTGATTACGTCCATGGACCTGCCAATTACAGTTATGAATGGTACATGAACACGCTTGCATGGGTCACCATTACTCACCTCGAGGTATGTTTTCGCTGCTGCTCAGGCACCAAGAAGAGCAACGTTGGAAAACAGTGACATTTGGGTTTGATGCATAGCCAGCTCACAACGGTGCTCTGATGTTGGTTGTGGCCTGGACAGTTCTTTGTCTCGAGCTCATCCGCCACTAGCCCGCCCACCTTGTCTACCGCATCCTCCGGTTTGACATCATCCTATACAACTTCCACGGCTGCAGACCAACAGGCATTCACAACGACGCCTTTCACCTCGAGCCGCGCGCCCAGTGGTGGCACTGGAGACTCCAGCTCAGCAAAGCCATCAGCAGGGACAGACACGACAGCAACGCCGAGGCCGCCAGCAGAGGTTTCGAATCACAGCACGAGGCCCACCAGTGAGGCAACCGAGAGCTCGAAGCACAAACATGTCCCACTGCCAATTTTGCTTGGTGCTTCTTTTGGCGGGGTGCTGGGGTTGGTGTTGCTCGTGATAGTTGGGGTCTGTGCCTATCAACGCTGTTGCAAAAGCCCTGAACGCACGTATGATGTGCTTGTTGAAATGAGCGGGCCAGAGCACGACGACCCCAGCAGCATGTTTGCCTGGTTGGATGAAACGCGTACGGAGCCTGACTTGACGGCGCAATCAGACGCTACGATGAACGTGCAGTTGCAGTCAGCAGCGATCCATGCCCAAGCAGACAGGCTCGAGTGACAAGTGCACAATCACGATTGAAGTTAGTCTAAAGCATGGCTCTACCTGCACATGCCCTACCCTCGATTTTATGGTGAACTGTGCCCTTCTCCTTCAGAAAGCAATTATGTGCCACTCGCTCAACGCCCAGCGTCTAGATAGAATAATAGTAAGCGTTTTATTGGAAGGGCCGTGCAAGCGTCCCCCTGCCCCTTCTCCTAATTGATCTCCACCTGCTCACCCGCATTGCTTCCAGATCCCATTTCAAATACATCCCCCTTCGCCGTCGTTCGTTTCGATCAAAAATTCTGATCAACAAGAAGTTGTTCTGTTATGTTTGCTTGTGTTGCTTGTGTTGCTTGTGTTGCTTGTGTTGCTTGTGTTTCATTTTGTTGTTTGGATTAATTACATGTAACTTTAAGCTTGCTTGGCGTTGACAAGCAGCACAGTTGATCAGCACCTTTTGAAGCGCGTCGACAGGTCTCCCGAGCTCGCGCCTCACCGATTTGTTTTGTCAGGGCTGGTTGACTGAGCCGGGACTGGTGGTGTATCTCTGACTACGATTGGCAAGACGCGCTTTGCTTCGGCCGAAGCGTTCGAGCATTGTGGGTCGGCATGGCGGCGTTGACGGCCGAATTGCCAACAGCAGTGCACGACCCGCTAGAAACTGCCTGCTGGGAGAGCACGCGCTTTGTAGACGATGTCTCTCCGCACCTGCGCTGCCCCATCTGCCTCAATGTGTGTTTGAACCCGGTCGCCTGCAGCACCTGTGACCAAGTATTTGGCGAACATTGCTGGTATCAAGCACTTGCGGCCCACGGGTGCTGTCCAACCTGTCGACAGAAAGAGCACCCCTTTGCGTCCCCTTCTCGACTCGCACGTAGCTTTATTGGTGATTATCGCGTCCGCTGCCGCCATGCAAGTGAGGGCTGCACCGAGGTCCTACCCCTGCAGGAGATGCTCAAGCATCAAGCCGTGTGCGGCCATCTGCAGCGACCATGCCCGCATTGTCAGGTCCCCGTGCGAGCCAGCGATGCCCAACAGCATGAGGATGAGTGCGCGCTTCGGCTTGTGATGTGCCCACACGTGGGCTGTGGTATCCAAGTACCCATGCATGCGTTGGCGGAGCATCGCGGGCGGTGCATTCACCCCCGACCCAGTGCTGGAGACCAAGGCACGCGGCCAGAGGCCCAACACTGCTGTCAATTTTGCCACGAGCATTGTAGTTTGGCCACGGCCATGGATACATGGTGTCGCCCCTTTTTGGAACATCGCTTAGCCCTGGCGCAATTGTACCTGCGGCGACTGCAGACGGCGGGCGAGCAACAGGCCGCGCTCATCAAACGCAGCACAACAGCTTCGCGCGATTTATCCAACGCCTTGCGCGATGCCACCGGGGCCCTGGGCTACCAAACATCCCAGTTACGACAACAGCAAGAGACGATCCGCTCCGTTGGTGCTACACGAGATCACGCTGTCAAGCTGCTTCGGGAAAGTGAGACAATGCGCAAGACCATGTCGGATGTTCTCCGGCAGAAGAACATTTGCATTCAGCAGCTCAAGGCCGAGAACGAATTGCTGCGACGCAAAATGGACACCCAGGACGTCCTGCTCAAAGTCCTGATGGAGAGTCCAACACGCTCTGGGCGCCGAGTAGGCAGCGCCAACGGTGTGCAAGCTGACTCGGCTGCCGAGGCAATGGAATTGGACGAGGCCAGTGGGGATAAGCCCAAGACAGATTAATGACTTTGGAATGCATTTCGTTTTTGATTATGATTGCTGCTGCCGGTGCTCCTCTCCAGTTGGGCCCCGAGGCCAAACGGAGGGTGCCATTAGGCGACAACTTGACGCTGCCCTCTTCTACCATTTGCATCATTCGTGTGTCTATATGCCGATGCGCTCGTGTGAACATCCCTCTGTGCCCTGATCCATTGAATGTCAGATTTCATGTCAGATTGTCATCAGTTTCCTTCACCAGTTCGTTTCATGTGTTTTCTGCTCCAAACCCAAAAAGATGTGGTACGGTCTTGCCAATGTGCGCGTCAGCTGTGAAATGGCAGCTGGGGTGGGGAAGGGCAGATGGTGAGGTGCAGGGCATGCCTGATAATGGCCAGAGTTTCACATGAGTGCATTCCCGCGTCCCCATAACTTGATCAATCCTTCTACCGCCCAGTCCCACCTCGATTGGCGCATGATAAAGCATAAACACCCTTGCACGAGCGAACTTTTGAGGACCTGGCAAACATGAGTAGGTCGAGGCCATCACGTTTCAGTGTGCATACACTCGCAATTTGAGCGCGCGCGCGAATGCGCTGTCCTGATCTGATTTTAATTCCTTCGGGTACGAGTGCGTGCTACAGACCAGGTCATATCCCCCAGTACCATGTGCTTTTGAAGCACAGCGTCATCGCCGTCCGCTCTCGTGACCTCAAGGACGCACAGAAATCAAGTCCATTCTTAAACCAGTTTATGCAGACTGTCACGAGCGAGTGGCTTCATGTGCTCTCTCTCTCTCTCTCTCTCTCTCTCTCTCTCTCTCTCTCTCTCTCTCTCTCTCTCTCTCTCTCTCTCTCTCTCTCTCTCTCGCTCTCTCTCTCTCTCGCTCTCTCTCTCGATGGATTTTGCACACACACACACACACGCACTCACGTGTTGTGCTTCTTGCTGCTGCGACGGTTTGCTGGAAGTTTTGCCTTTGTGTAAGATACACCGACTATAATGCTTGAATTGTGTAGAACATGTAGATTTCCAATCAAAAGCATAGGGAATAACATTATAGATCAAGTCAAGAAGATGTAGTAGATCCACTGGATCTTGTTGCGCGTCCTGCCGAAACAAAGAAACGTAAGGGGGTGGTGCAGCGGCAAGCGTGACGAGTGTGCATGACTGGTTCACTGGCTGCAGCAGACCAAACGCTCGCTCGCACGCGACAGCCTTCCTCCGGAGACGTGCTTGGGTACAAGTGTGAGCTGTGCCGGGCCATCATCACCATCACACCGCAGCTCCACTGGCCCACAATTGATCAAATCCGAAAAGTCAGGGGGTGCATTTATTTTTCTTGCCTTCCATAACGGCCAAAGGCAAAGGCGGATCTTGTCTTGGAAGCCTGCGCATTTTTCCACGCGCGCGCACACACACACATACACACGCACACACGCAAGAGTTCCCCGGTACCTCGACTGGCGTTGAGATAATTATTACTTCCATCACCGCTGCCATGTCGGAAATGGGTCCCAAGCTTGATGTGGCCAACGCCAAGTCGCCACTGGCCATTGTCAAGTACTGCCTCTTTGTACGTGCCGAAGAACGCGCCGCGCTGGCGGTCTTTGCCATGCTTGTCCACCATCTCACCCCGTGCATCCAACCCTGCCCTGACTTGGCGCTGCTGGCTCCGTAGCTCTTCTCGCTGTTGGGCTTTGCCGTGCTCGCTGGCTGGGAGTGTGGCTTTGGCTTTGGACGTCAAGCCACTTATGAGGTACATGCACTGCTGGCTTTCCGACGCGCCACGGCCATCGGCGATTGGCCCACATGCACCACAATGACTCTCTTTGAGACAACGGTTGTCGCCTCGCCTCGCCTCGCCTCGCCCCGCCTCATCCTTTGACCCTGCTTGTGTCTGCATGGAACTAGAACATTGACAATGGCGAGTTTATGATGGCCATGCTGGTCATTGCCTGGTTGATTAGCATCTTCTACATTCTCGCCATTGTCTTTTGGTGGCACCTGTGCCTCAAGATTCCCTTCTTCTGGTGGATCGAGCTCAGCGTATCAGCTTGCTGGGCCCTCCTGACCTTTGTGGCCTCTTGTGTTTACGCCGACGACATTAACGTGGATTCTCCCTGTGACATGGATGGCCTACGCTTTGCTGCGGTATGGCCACTCGCTTTTGGCGCGCACACATCCGCATCAGATGCAAGGCCTCGCTTCCATGGTTCTGATGATGGACTGTGCCCTCACTTGAATGCTGATCATTGCGCTGTTGTTGTTGTTGCTTTTTTAGGCCATGGGATTCTTCACCTTCTTTGCCCTCGTGGTCGACGCCATTCTGTGTGCCCTCCAGATTCGCGCCGAGTACGTTGACCTCTGTTCTGCTGGCTGTGCAGTTGCAAACCCCACCCCCACGTGCAGCTTGTTCTAACCGGTATTTGCCTTGCCTTGTTTTGCATTAATGTAGTCGTAAGGGATCGGGTGGTGAGGCCTCGGCTGAGCCTGCCCCACCTGCGGCCGAGACGGCTTAAAGCGCCAGCTGGCCACCTAGAACAATCGGCTGTAGGCATCACAGCCAAACGCCGACCACGTACAGTAATATCATGTTACAATATTCTTTGTCCACTTGTTCGTGTCCATTGCCCGTCTGGCGAGGTCCGAACATTCTTGTTGTAAAGTCATTTGTGTTATCACGCCAAGTGCCTTGAGCTTGACTCAAAAAAAATTGCATTTCATTTCAAACCATTTTCAAACTGGGGTCCCACATGAACACACCAGACGCCGGGAGCACAGTAGTACTTCAAAATTACGCCTGGTCCTGAAGCGTGCGCACATTGAGGATCAAGGACTCGCTTTCACTGCTCGTTAGCTCACCGTGTGCCTGCAAGTTAACACCGACTCATGAGTCAAGCCGAACGTTTAACACCACATTGAAATACATTGCGAAAAAACGGGAGGGGAGTAAACGACTGCAGAGACCATACGCACATGCCATCGTACGCGACCCTCCCGATCAAGCAAGAAGACGTAGCCTGTGTAAATGCTAAAAAGCTATGGAAGAGGAAGGGCATTTCACCAATGAATCGGGGCGCAAGGGAGCGTGTGCGCCAACAGTTTAGATCCAAGACGGAAAAGAGGGTGTGTCTCAAAGTGATGAAGCCTACATCGAGTTCTTGACGCAACAGGGGCACCTGGTCCTTGACCACAACGAGTTGATTCTAAGAGTGTCTCATCCAGCACAGGATGCACGGAGGGAGAGTCAGACAACGAGCATGGATCGCACCCTTGCGGTTCAGGCGGTGACGACCAAAGGGGGTTAGGACTAACCCAAAGTTCTTTCGGTGCATCCCGCTGCAGGCCCTTGGCAATGGTCCCGGAAATCCATTGGTGCATGCGCGATTCCAAAAGGACCAGCTCCACTGCGGGTGCCCCTACTTGTT